CCCCTCGCCTGGCAGGGGTTCCGACCATGCCGTCCACGTCTTTGTTGTGAGGCCTAACCCATCGCCTCGCAGGGGGCTCCGCCGTGTGGCCTTCCACCTCTTGCTCAGGCCTACCCCCTCGCCTGGCAGGGGATTGAGATGCGCCGTTGGCCGTCACCTCCTCAGGCCTACCCCCTCGCCTGGAAGGGGTTGTGACCTCGCCGCCCAGCTCCATGTTGTGAGGCCTAACCCCTCGCCTCGCAGGGGGTCTCGCCGTGTGGTAGCCCACCTCGTAGCCAGGCCTGCCCCATCGCCTTGCAGGGGACAGGTCCGCCACATTGGTGCGCTCCTCCTCAGGCCTACCCCTTCGACTGGCAGGGGCTTTGACCCCGCCGTCCCTCACGTTGCTGTGAGGCCTAACCCCTCGCCTCGCAGGGGAGTCTTCCGTGTTCACCTTCACCTCGTACCCAGGCCTAACCCCTCGCCTGGCAGGGGAGCTGTTTTCCTCGTTGGCAGCTACTTCCTCAGGCCTACCCCCTCGCCTGGCAGGGGACATGCGTACCTTCATCTTGCCAACAATCCTGCGCCGAGGTCGAGAGCTTGCTGCCGAGGTCGCTGTGGCCGCGGTCGCCGAACTGCTCGCTGACGTGCCCATCCATGGCTTGCGCAGGCGCACAGGAGTTGCAGAGGGCGTTACGCCAAGCGCCTGCGTGTCCTCGAGAGCTGCTTCCTCGGCCTCCGACGGTGGCCGCGATGGGGCGCTGGTCCTGGGTCCAGCCTGATACTGCCCATCTGCTGCAAGCCATCCGATCCGCTGTTGAAGGAAAACAGCTCGGTCCACATCATTATCTTCCTCGTCATCCTCACCCTCAGGCGCAGGTCTACGCTGAGGTGGAGGTCGAGGTCGGTCTGGGGCACGTTCTCCCAGCAGCCTCCTGAACATGCTCCGCACCTGCGCGAGTGCCTGCATGTGCTGAAGTTCCAGGCGTACTCGCTCTTCATGCGGTGCTTGCCGCAGTCGCTGAATGAAAGCGTGACGCCTTTCGGCGGTGTGCCGCCATGCGCTCGCACAGATATCGTCAACGATATGCTGCAGCGTCCTTCCAGGAACACTCTGAAGAGTAGTTGCCGAAGGGGATTGTTGCCGCCTTGCTCGAACATCGCTATAACGAAAGCAGCACACCACTCCAGCCACGGACCGCTGTTGGTCGCTGGACACGTGTAATCCTCGAGCCATAACGCTGCCCAATGTCTGAGGTCCGCTCGCATGTCCGCGTAGTCCTCTGCAGCTCGGTCCTCAGGCAACACAGGCGGAGGCAGCCCCATGTCCGTCGGTACGTCCGCGCCTGCCTTGCTCTTGGTGGATATCCTTCGTCCAGCAGTGGCGACGGTGCCTGGACGCTGCTGCACGGCAGCATCCAGGGCTTGCGTCCTAACAGCAAAACGAGGCGACGCAGCCTGGGGATGCTGCACCGCAGCCCCCAGGACTTGCGATCTAACGCCAGCTGATGGCGACGATTGAGCCTGGGGTGGCCAACTAGCAGCACCCAGGACTTGCGTCCTAACGCCTTCCAAGCTGTCCATGATACCGCTGTTGCCCAGCATGGTGTTCGCACCCTCGATATGGGACTTTCTTGCCGCTTCCTTGGCGCGGATCCTCTCGTGCAGCCTGGCCATGCGCTGCTCGAACTCATATGGCCCATCAGGTGCAGGACGAGCGACTCGCGTCACCAACTTCTCAGGTTTCTGATGCAGTTGGTCTCGGTACTGCAGCGGCAAGCTGGCGTCGATGTGCTTGGCCAGCTTCTTGTGCGGCCCTATGCCCGTCCGCAGGTTGCTGAGGACTTCGAGCCCTTTGGTCGTCGGCCATGTGCACTGCTCACGCAACTTGATCTTTCTTCCCTGCTGCGCCCAAGCTCCGCACGTGATGCACACGAACACGGTCGCTTTGCACGTCATGTCGCTGAGGTCGCCTTTCTGGTTCACCGCCACCAGCCTGTGACCCAGCGTGTTGGCCATGTGCTCCTTGAGCAATAACGGCGTCCCTGAGCACCCATTGAGCTGATCGCATCCGGGCTGTCGTAGGCGGAGACAACGCATGCACTGCTGACCAAGTTCCGTATCCTTCCAGTCGTGCCAGTTGTCCGTCCTGATGCTCTTGGTTCGCTTGTAGCCCGTGCTGTTCCTCTGCCATCTTTCTTCTTCTTGGTCGAACATGGGCATGACGTGCGCAATCAGCTTCATGATGTCCTTGCACATATGCTGGTGCTGGTCTAGCCGTTCACTGAACTCATGAGATACTGCCTCATGCCGTCTAGCCCCTTCGGCTGCATAGTGATCAGCCACTACGCTGCCATCCGTTATGCGCTTGGTCTCGGCATCCAGGTTGGCGTAGTCTTCTCCAGATCTATGAGCCTTTACATGTCTTACTTCTTTGATGTGGGCGGGCCCAGGCAGGCTCTGGGCGAATTCGAAGACCCCGCCGCATCTCTGCGTGACCTGCACCTGCTGCTGAGCCGACTTGTTGAACTGGTGGATCGTCCCCTTGAAGTCTGCGTGCAGCGTGGTGGGTCGGTCGGCTGCCTGACACGAAAATGCAAATGCGAGGTACTCCGCCATGGCCGAAGTTTGCGGCAGGCTGGCTGGCACTGCCGCGTACATGACTCGCAGCGCATCCGTGCCATGGGGGTTGAGCAGCACCGTCGCCCACCCTGCCCGCTGCAACTCCAGTAACGCTGGCTTGGTACACGATCCATCGATGGCGAACTCGATCTCCTCAGTGTCTGACGGCACCGCATGCTGTACCGTCTCATCATGTCCTTCATCAACTTCATGACCGTCGATGGCGACCACGCAAGCCTAGGTCCATCCTCGGTAGTTCTGAGGTCCATCCTCGGTAGTTCTTCATCATGAAAGGTGAAACAGCCTGTCACCAGCCGTCCGCCCTCGCCATCCTCACGTAGGCGTTGTATGACGTTATCCTCAACTTCTGCATCAGCTCGAGCCGCAGCGACTTCAGGAAGCTGACATTCCGCCAATCGGTGTAGTACCGTGTCGACCTCGCCGCACTTGCACTTGCCGTCAGTGATGTAGCCCCTGCTTCTTGCCCGCGAACGCGTCCAGATGCCATCGCAAGCGCAGCTCATGATGCAGAACTTCTGGTGAGTGTTGAACTTCCTGTTGTTCGTCTTGACGTAGGGGGCCACGAAGTCGAAATATACTCGCAGCGAGGGGTCGCCATACCATTTTGCACCCAACGCTAGTTCATGCGGTCGTTTTAGTCCCTGAGCCATCAGGGTCGCAAGCATGACTGGGGTGGTCTGGGTGATGTCCACTATGTCCCCGCGCTGATTCCTCCAGTTGGTCCCGCTGGCGACGTCCCAGCCTGCCCTTTGGACGCGCAAAGCTGCTCGTTGAAATGGTCCACGTGTTTGGCTCGACTGCGCAAGCATCCCTGGTGCCGTAACCGCGCTGTCCCACCACTGGGTCAATTCGTTGAACTCCACGCTGGCGGCCTGTGGGCAGTGGTTGGCGATCCAGCACATGCGGCACCACTGGAGGGCAGGAGCCAGCGCCTCGTGTACCGCTGGATCTCCAAGTAGGACGAGCTTGGCCGATGCTGACACTCCCCCATGGTATGGTTTCCGCTGGCTGAGACAGGTCTTTCGAAACTTCACGAGCTCGCTGTCACTCATCCCGTTGACCTCCACTCCGAACGTGAGAGCAGGCTTGGCCCCCGTCCTGTAGATGCGGGAGATACGCTCTGCAGCCTTCGTTGGGATCACCTTCCGAAGCTTGCTGAGTTTGCGGGGCCTCTGCTGGTGACGGCGGGCTCTAGCTTTGCACTTCCCACGCGTTCCACCAGCCCCGCGCCTCTTTCCCCCAGCGAAATCGGTGCCCAGAAAGGACACCGCTGGCTTGGCCGACTGCTGCTGCACTTGGAGGCCCTCTGCGATCCGCTTGCTGATGTCGTCCGAGCTGCTCACGATGGCGAACTTGTCATTGATGGTCGCATGCAGCTTGCCCGCCACTTGCCGAAACCCACGCCCTGCCCGTATCGCCTTCTGGACCACCTCCTCTGTGGTGTCACCCTCCGCGCCGATGCCCGCGTCGTCGATGTAGGACGAAAACGAGATGTATTGGTGCAGCGCGATGTAGGCGTCATACTCCTCAACAGCGTGCGCCTTGATGACTATATCTGCGTATCCGTCTCCTGCAGGGAGCCCATATGAAGCATACCGTCGTCGCACACCGTGGTGAGAGCGTGCTCGTATGATCCGCGGACTTTGCCATTGGTTATATATCAACTTGATGTGGCCATCCTTAGCACCCAGACGGCATAGTCTGTCGCGGACCTGAGCCAGCTCGATCGTCTCGTAGTACTTGCTGTAGTCCGCGATGAGGGTCGCCGTGTGCCTGAACTTAGATACACACGCTTCAGCCCTCGCCGACAGCTTCCAAGCGCTGTCAATCGCAGACCTTCCAGATGCTGCTCCCCAGTATTTCCTTTCCACGCGTCCTTGGAGTTCGTGAAACTCGGCTCGCCTCGCACGCTGCCATACACGATAACTCGACGAGTAACTCCACCTGCCGCCTTTGGTCGCATCGGCATGACCATCCACGCGATCTGCTTGGGGCATAATCCTTTCGCTGGCTTCCCACAGCGCACTGAGGACCTCCAACCCCACGTCGGACAGGTGCTGGTAGTGCGACGGGTGGATGCCATCCAAGCTGCCAGATGTGCGCGTTGAAAAACTCGCTGATGCTCTCCTTATTGCCGACGCCGACACTCTCGGGAGACTGCTTCTGTTCGGCACCCAAGCTGGTGGCGCTGTAGATGTCGACCGCCAAAGTTTGATGTGCACGTTTTCAGCCTCTTCAACGATTCGATGAGGATGAGCTTGGAACTGATCAGGTCGGCCGCGTACGATCGTGGGTGCCTGGGCGTCCTGGTACTTCGTGACTCGGTGTAGCCGTCCAGCTCCATTCTCACTAGCTCCATCGCACCGTTGCTTCCACCTCTAAGCACTGTCACGGTCCGCTGCTTGCTTAGCCATGCCGATGTCCTCAGCCGCCTCCTCGATCATGTTGATGATGTCCTGCGCTGATGTGTTTGGCGCCGCTAGTGCTCTCCGCGCATGGGCAACCACTGCATCCAGCCGCTGACTGACGCCTTGCCCTGCGTAGTCGGTGGTGACGAAGCCGTGGATCTCGTCTTGCAGCATGTTGCCTTTGATCGCGGGCCGGTTGGCCAGGAGCTTCGCTATGACAGACAGCGCATCCTCGTACCATTTCCACCCGTCAGCAACAGCCTGGATGCCCTCTGGGTCCGACCCTTCATACATATAGGAGACCCACTTTGGCCTCAGGTATCCGCCGTATGAGAACGCCTGGACTGGGGTGCCTGTGAGATGCCCAAGCCTGGTCGCCGCCTGCGCAGCAAAACGAGCCCACGCGGAGGACAAGAGACGCCATGCAGCTCCCACTGAACCAGATACGGCCATCTCCACGGCACCCTCGGCGCACGTCCTCTCGAGCTCCCAGTCGTGCATGTCCTGCAGCATGGGCCCCTCCTGCTTGTTCACCTCAATCTTGGCCCCGCCGACGTAGGTGAGGTACATCATTCGCTTGCACATCGTCGCAAGCTCCATGACCACTGGCCGATGCGGCTTGATTGCCCATCCCATGTCCACTTGTATGGCTTTGATGAGCCGCATGGCACCTGAGGTCCGCGCGAAGTAGTCGATCACTGAGTTGGCCGTCGCCGTTCTGCATGTGATAGACTTCGGAACCAGCAGTGATACCTGGGCATGCACCGTAAACGAAGATGCCTCAATCTCAGCCGCCGTCATATTCCAGTCACCGCCTATGATGGAGGGATACGTCTGCCCTGCCATCGCCAGGCCCACGTTCACGAGGATCTTGGCATTCTGCAGGGACATTCCCTCGCCCGTGTGCAGGTATATGTTGAAGATATTGATGGGTGGCCATCCAGGCACTTCCACCACTGCATGCTGGGCGCGATGAGGCACCAGCTCGCTTCCAAAGGATACCTGCTCGTTGACCGTGGATCTCCGTGCTGCGGGGCTCGTCGGAGGGTATGTCGGCCCTCGTAGCCCTATGCCTTCACGCGCAAAGATCGCCAGGCCTGCCGCGGGAAGCTTGCCTGCCGTCGGGGCTCCAGGCACCCCCATGACGTTCCACTTGTTGGTGGCACACCAGGAGCTGAGGGCCTCGCACTCCCAGTCGTGGTACCCTATCTCCTGCGCGAGCACGATGAGGAACCTGGTGCAGCTTAGCCTCTTTTTAAGCGTCTGCTTCCCTTGGTTCGCGTTGTAGGTCTCGACGAAGTGGGACTCATTCACCTCGCTCGGCACCAATGCCTCTGCCGAGTCGCTCCGCCGATCGCTCAGCCCTGTCACGGCTGGCACTTGTCGCCCATGATGCACACTGCTAGGAGCCGCCCGTCTTGGCCGCCCCTCCGCTGTCGAACTTTCGATGTTTCGTGTTCTGGATGTCGGCGACCATCTCGGCGAGCTGCTCGGGGCTAACGGACACGGCGCCCTCGCTCTTGCCTTGGTACATGGCACGGTGCAGCTCCTCGACGTCATCTTTGTCCCCCACAAAGGCTGACTCACGTTTGTCATGTCGACTTCCCTGCTCATCTGCATTAGGTATTCCTCCTTCCCGGCGCTCGCCGCCCCCGTGGTGAACGCCAGGCTCGCGAGCAGGAGGAGGCCCAGGAGACTTCGCCTGAGCAAGCTTGGCCGCCATGTTCTGCCTGTACAACTCCTCCATATTGGCGAAGAGGGGGTTCGCCGAGAACGAGTTGTAGAACTGCAGCAGGTCAGGGTCCGACTTGAGCTGGTGGATCTCGGGGTCAAGCCGCAGGATGTCAGGGGGCACCTCCACACCAGCTTCCGCCGTGCACCCGCTGAGCTTCGCCGCGTGCCCCGCGAGCTGCTTCGTGAGAACCTGCTCCTCGCCGAGCTTGCTTTCCAGGAAGTCCTTCTTCTCGTCCATCTCCTTCTGAACCTTCTCCATCTTCTGCTGCAGGGACTGCAGGTCGTGCTTCGCTGTGCTGATCTGCTTCTGGACCCGCTGAAGCTTCTGCGTGCAGTGCTTATGGGCCATGGCAGGCGTGCGCAGCGACTGTGCCTGCAGCTTGGTCGCCTCCAGCTTCTTCTAAAGGTCGCGCACCAGCTCATCCTCACCATCGTCCTTGTGCATCTTGATGGTCTGCTCGTACTTGGTGATCTTCGCCTGCAGCTCCGTGCGCTGCGCGATCGACGAGGCCTCCGCCACGTTGTCCTCATCATCACCTTGGTCGACCTCCATGTCCGAGGCTTCGCCGCCGTTGACCTTCTTGAGCTTCTTGTTCTCGGCAAGGAGTTGCCTGAGCTGATTCTGCATCTTGGCCATCTCCTTGGCCTCAGGAGCCCAGGGCGCCAGGGTGGACCGAAGGCCAGTCCCTCCCACAGACTTGGAGGGCGACTTAGTTGCAGGTGCACCGCTCTTGCCTGACTCCGTGGCCTTCTGCTCTGCCGCCTTCCTTGCCTTCTGCACCACGTGGAATGGGGCCGACTTGCCGCAGCGGCATACGATGCGGCACGCCCAGTTGGCACTCGTGCCGCAGCTGGGGCATCCCCACGTCGGCTCTCGCGGTCCATGAAGAACCCGTGGTTGTCGCTCCTCGGGCTGTGGCACCATCGATCCCGAAGATGAGCCGTGGTGCTCGTTGAGTCTCTCTGCCGCGCTCCGCAGCAGGGCCTGGAGGCGGGGCGTGGCCTTGCCCGCCCAGGCGTGCAGCAGGGCGCGGTCCGCCGCACGGCGGAGTCGCGCGCGATGATGGCTGGGCGCCTCCCTAGGCGGCGTCGTGCCGTGCGCTAGTCTCGGCGCGCGCGGGGGGGCCCTCGCCTGCGCTGGCAGGCACCCAGGGGGCACACCTCGCGAGCCAAAACTGGAGGAGGAGGAGGGGCAGGAGGAGGGGGATGGGGGAGGGGGAGGGGAAGGGGGAGGAGGATGATGATATGATATGATATGATATGATATGATATGATATGATATGGTATGATATGATATGATATGAAATGATATGATGTGATATGCGCTTGGGGGGCAACGTCTGCTTCGCCTCAGCGGGCCAGATCGCCTCGCTTCACTACCCAGGATACCTGCTCCCTGCGATGAACATGGAATGGCCCCTCGTAAGAGAGGGGGTGACATCAGAAGTAGAAGAAAAAGAAGAAGAAGAAGAAGAAGAAGACGAAGAAGAAGAAAAAGTATAGAAGGCGAGGGCGACGACGAAGGCGATGACGACGACGGCCCTGGCGACCGGGCGGGGGCTGCACGGCCTGCCAGCCTGCCGCGGGTGCCTGCCCCCTGTGGGCAACCGCTTCGCCGCCCGGGGGCCCAACTTCGGCGGCGCGCGGGGCGACGACGACAGGCGGAAGGGAGAGAATGAAGCCGTGCACGTCAAAGTTGCAATGGCAAGCCGCATCATACGAACGGATCAAGCAGAAGTGCACGCGACGTCGAAGGTGCATCGGCAAAGCAGTGAATGCCAAGATTGCATCGGTACGGGAGGGAGGTGCAGTCAAATCAAGTCATAAGAGCGCACGGTGAGGACGCAAGTGAAGACCCAAGGGCTTCGGACGTCCAAGCTAAGCGTTCTGAGCGGCGCCTGGCGGGCCGAAGAAGCCGAGGAGCAGCCGAAGAAGAGGCGAGGACGCAAGGGCACCCTTGGAAAAGTGCCTGTCCTCATGATTCGGTTCGACTGCAGCATGAGGGAGACCGGTCCTGGAGACGTGGGGCCCTCCCCGGGCCCCGCGGTCGTCGAAGGACGAGCGGCTCGGGACGACGGGCGGACTCTCGAGCAGGTCTTGGGGTCCCGAGGGCCCGCTTCCCTTGGGCCCCCCTCTCCTTTCCTTCGTGGCGAGGGGGGGGGAAGGGGGGAAACGGAGGGTTCGGACGTGGGTGCAAAAGCAAGCGCCTGCTCCCGAGCACTCTTCACAGCGACGCGCGGGGCACGACCCAGGGCCCGAAGAGCGAGAGCGCATGAAACGCGCTCGGCCGCTGCCCCTCCGCCGCTGTGCCTTTCCTGGAGGCCTCCTGGATAGAGCCAGGCAACTGGGGTCGGAGGGTCGCGCCGCATCGCCGCTGCATCCGAAATGCACTGGCGATGCATCGGCGACGTCGGCGACGCATCGGCGCCGTCGGCATGGATAGCATCGGGCCTCGCATCGCGCGCCGCATCGCCGATGCATCGGCGACGCGGCGCGATCCTCCGACCCCATCTGCTCCGACACCATGGCGTGGGGGCCTAGACTCCCGTGGGGGGGCGGGGGGGGGGGGGGGGGGGAGGACGGGGTGCAGCGGGTGGGGCGCGCTCGCGCGCGCAGCGGCGGCGAAATCGGCTCCCGCCGTGCTCCACACCATGGGGAGGCGACGCGCTGTCCCCGGGCTCCGCGGCCCGCCCCCCCCTCCCCCCCCCCCCCGTGCCGAACGCGAGCCGCCTCCGCGCGCTGCCGCCGGCCTCCGCCGCCCCGCCGGCCGCGTTTTGCCGGCCTTGCCGGCACTGCGGCGCCGTCCTTACGAGCAAGTCGGGCCTGTCTCTCGGGGAATCTTCGAAAACAGTCAAAAATATAGTCTGGGGACGATTGTTCTGGTATTTTTGCATATTTGTGGAGCATGTCTTGGCTATTCTTGATTTTGTCGTCCAAAATCCCGCTGTGGGGGGGCAGGGCCGACCTACCCTTACAAGCCGCTCGCTGGAGTCGACCCTCGATGGCTTCGACGCGCTCCGCCACGGAGCGGCGTGCAGCGGCCCTTTGCGGTGGCGCCGAGCCCGCCCGCCCCTCTGCGCCAGCGCCCGGAGGCCGCGGGCGGGGAGGCAGAGCGGGAGCGACGGAGGGGGGCGACCGTCGAGGAGGAGCCGTTTTTTGTTGCTTTTTTTTTTTGTTCGTTTCACCCCCCTGAGGTGATCTTGCTGCCAGCGAGGCGTCCTGGCAGCAGTGGCGACGAATCGTCGCAGATGGGAGGCAAAGGTCCAGCAGCACCGAGACTGAACAAGCGGCAGTGCAGGAACCAGGAGCTGAGCATTTTCTCAAGGTGGAGGGCGCAGGGTGAAATCCATATGGGCTTTTACACCTCGAAAACCAATCCGTCTTGTGATTCACCTTTTGCAGATTCAAACCTCGAGAATGCGGCATTTCAGATTTCACCCTCTGCCCTCCACCCAAAGAAAATGCTCGGAGGAGGCGGTAGAGGAGCGAGCGCAGACTGAGGGGCTTCCTGGCCATGGCCCAGGTGCAGCGGCGGGATGTGCTGGAGGCCCCCGCACAGGCAGCACGCGAGGTCTGGAAACTGTTGTCTCGCGATGGCACATGTTTAGCCGGCGTAAGACTGCAATTACCTTCCGCCGTCTTATAGACTGCGAATCCCGAATGGTCTCTCCGTTAAAGCACGCCCAGAACGAGACACGTCCTGGAAACGGGCAATACGCATCCCTTGATGGCCCCAGTCTAAGCAACGTGCATGCAGAAGCTTACGCACGCAGCTGTGAAGCAGCCTCAGCTCCACAACTCAACCCTCCTCACCTCTTTGCCACGCCTTCTTTTACACACCGCGCGAAGCGCAGTCGGGGTGCGCCAGGGACCCCCCAGATATGGCCATCTCTGACCTCCAGCAGGTGCGCGCCAGACCCGGCCTAACAATCTTCTCGCACTGTATGGGAGGGTCTCTTGGGTAGTGGGATCGGGGGGTGGGGGGAACGGGATCACGTCACCACACTGGGCCGTCGCCGCAGGATTGCGCAGACATCCTCCTGCCCGGTGGGCGTCCCTGGGTGCCCCCTGGCCTCGTCCATCAGAACCCTCCGCCCGCCTCGGCGGGTGAGGGGTTCCCTGGTCGCGACTGTTGAGCAGGGACCGACCGTCCCGGCATTCCTATAGTCCTACCACGAAATGTTCTTGGAACCTAAAGATGTTTTAAGAACGGAAACAAAGTTCCTAGAACATCAACCAGATGTGTTAAAACAAGACAGTCCCGGCCAGAAATGTTCTAGGAGCATTTCGTGGAAACCACACAAAGGCTCTTAGAACATTGTTTGGTAGGGCCATCGGCGAGCCAGGACGCTTCGCCGCTGCTTGAGACTGGGGGCCGTCCCACTGGGATGCTCTACGGGTGCGGGGAGGCGCCCTTGCGCCATCTGACTCTCGGCGAGGGTGGCCTCGGCCACTGCCTGCGCACCACCGCTGCGCTCCCACGGCGCAGCCGCCACGCAACGGCGCCCCGCTCTCCCACTCCTCACTTCTCTCATGAGATCCTCCTCCTCCTCCGAGGGCCTCCTCCTCGTCGTCCTCCTCCAGACCCCCCCCCAGGGTTCAGAGGCACATAGTTACCCCGTCCCTGGTCCTCTTCCTCCTCCGTCCCGCCCCTCGTCTGATCCTCGTCTGATCCTTCTCTTATCCTCCTCCTATCCTCCTCCTCCTCCTCCTCCTCCTCCTCCTTTTCCTCCTCCTCCTCCGCCTCCCTCCTCCTCTGTCATCTTCTCCCTCCTCCTCCCTCCTCCTCCTCCTCCTCCTCCATCCTCCTGCGTCTTCCTCCCGCTCCTCTCCTACTTCCTACTACCTCCGCCTCCGCCTCCTCCTCCTCCTCCTCCTCCTCCTCTTCCTGCTGCTGTTCTCCCGTGGCTGCTGCCGGGAGCCGCCTGAGGACGACCGCCTCCGCCGGCTCCTCCGGTGTCGTCGGTGACGTCGCCAGGCCGGGTGGTCGGCGGGCGGCTGCGAGAGGGCAGGCGGAGGAGGGCGGGGTCTCGTCGCCTCTGTGCTCGAGGAAGAGGGAGGAGGATAAAGGGAGGAGATCGTTCTTGTCTTCCTCCTCATCTCCTCACCTCTGCATCTGTCCGTCTCCTCCTCCGCATCTCCTCCTCATCTTCTCCTCCGCACCTCCTCCACCTCCTCCTCCTCGTCATCTCCTCCTCCTCCTCCTCCTCTTCCTCCTCCTCCTCCTGTCCCTTCACGCATGTCCAGCCACCCGGAGGCAGGGGAAATCACCCCACCCCAAGCCCCCCCTCTGCTTCTGCTCTCCTCTCGCCTCCGTCTCCCTCCTCCCCTGTCCGCTCTTGGTCCCCTCACCTTTTGGGACGGAGCGGCAGGAGATGGCGAGAAAGGGGCACGGCGAGGCGGCCAGAGCCGTCGGCGGGCGGCTGGAGGAGCGGGGAGGAGGGAGACGGACGGGGAGGAGAGGAGGAGAGGGCGGACCAGAGCATAGAGGCGGAGGAAAAAAGATGCAGGAGAGGAGGACGTCAAGACGAGACGGGAGGAGACGGGGAGGAGAGGAGAGGAGGGGAGAGAAGAGCAGAGGAACTCAGGGGGACGATCGAGGAGAGGGGATGACAGAAGTCGAGACGAGAGAGGAGGTGTACGAGAAGCGAGAATCGAGAGAGAAGAGAGGACCGGATGGAACGGCAAACTGTAAGAGGATATTGTATGGCAGGACAAGAGGCAACGGGAGAGGAGAGGAGGAGAGAGGGGACTGACAGTCGCAACTGACGTCAGCACACGAGGATAGGACAGGTCAAGGATAGGAGAGTAGAAAAGCCAGGACAGCAGAGAGGAGCAGATGAGAGGAGACGAGAGAGGG